AACTTTATGAGGGTTCCTGTCATAGGGAGGTTCAAGGGTATGCCTTGAAAGGTTCGGTGTAGGGTATTGTTGAGACTGCTGGGCCAAGGGTGCTCCTCAGATTGGGACTGAGAGAGAGAGAGAGGGAAGGCTTTTGGGCGAATCAAATGGCATTGCTTTCCACAGTGTTGGTGCGCTGCTTCAATGTATACTCTTGCTTGTTGCAGCCTGACTCATGTTTGACCTGCAGATCCATTCAACACACAGAAACACAAAACAAAGACACGAAAGCACAGACTCAGACACGGACACAGACACACACACACACATACACTCTCATGCTAGGCATCCATATGCCATATGTTCCCTGGGACAACAACACACGTGCCCGTTGCCCAGCAGAGTTGAAGCACACTGCCACCGATTGGCAAACGCATCCACCAAAGTTCGGAGGAGTGCCGTGGGCGCTGCCCAGCGGCGGGCTGCACGCCTAGCAGCGCGAGCGCGTGGGCTGTTGGCATTTGTTGGCTGTGGTGCCTGTGGCGCCTTTGATGTTCCCGTGGTTGGCGTTGCTTTGCAGGCCACGTTCAAGAAAGCAGATGGCTTGCTTTTGAAGGTCAACGATGAAATCCTGACTTCGCCGCCAGTGGCCATCAACCCTTTGATGAGGGGTATATGCGGATCACGTTTGCACCCCTTGGCCGCCCTCATCATTCTTACTATCATTATGAGAATTGATCATTGCAATCGTTATCGTCATCATCATCGTCATCATCATCATCATCGTCATCGTCATGGTTATGGACATGACCTTCTTCTTCATCAACAACGCAATAGTTGTTTTACAGGATCGCCTGGCAATACCGTCGCAAGTATTGCAAGTGACTGCCCACCAGTGGGTCGCACGAGGCCATGATGAATAGCCCCTCCGGTGCTACACAAGAGACGGCAGAGAACGAGCCGCGGGCTGAGGGCACGCGGTCGTGAAAGGGAGAGACATTGGGTCTTCTAGGGCTTGGACTGGGCAAGAGAGAGAGCAGCTTTGGACGGACCCATGATGAAGTTTCCATGTATGCCTGTTTTTTTTACATATCTAAAAGTATGTGTATATATATATATATAGGAAACCCTTGCTGCAGGTTGGTGGGTATTTTACAGGCAACTTGCTTGACTCCCTCAGTTTTTGCTTTCCGCTGCTACCTTGATGGGATGCTCAGGTTCTGGCGCATCAACTCTGAGGATGCAAACGGAGCCGCCAACGCCTCCAGCATCGTGAAGCAGGGGCCCTGCGGCCCCATGGGGAGCGGGCGTGGGGTGGGGTGGGGTGGGGTGGGGTGGGGTGGGGTGGGGTGGGGGTGGGGTGGGGTGGGGGTGGGGGTGGGGGTGGGGGTGGGGGTGGGGGTGGGGGTGGGGGTGGGGGTGGGGGTGGGGGTGGGGGTGGGGGTGGGGGTGGGGGTGGGGGTGGGGGTGGGGGTGGGGGTGGGGGTGGGGGTGGGGGTGGGGGTGGGGGTGGGGGTGGGGGTGGGAGTGGGGGTGGGGGTGGGGGTGGGGGTGGGGGTGGGGGTGGGGTGGGGTGGGGTGGGGTGGGGTGGGGTGGGGTGGGGTGGGGTGGGGGGTTCAGAAATCGGATCCAGCTACACTGTTGGAAAAGAAATTACATGTGTTGAAAGCCATGTATTTGAGAATGACCCGGATCATCCCAAGAGCATGTTGTTTTGGCAGTAGCGGGGAAACCGCACGTCCTTGCTGACTTCCACGCGTGAGGCGGACCTTCCAATTGTTCAATTGGACCAGATACAAGTTCCGGTTGCTTCGGGCTGATAGCGGCCCGGCAACCCCAAGCAATCAGAAAACCATAGCAATAGCTCCACAGATGTCACGGGGTGTGACTCTCAAAGTGTCAAGGGTTGCAGCCAGTGAGCGTTCCTGCCAGCGTCCTTGGGGCATGGCAGAGGGCTGCATGCAAGCAGGAGTTGGGCATTGCGGCAGAGTGCTTCCGGAAGCACTTGCCATACCTCCACCTGAGCCACAATCAAAACCCGGGTAGGTGAAGGTTACTAAGGGACAATCACGGCCGGAATTAGGCGCGGCCGCCTTTGTAGCTCTTTCCATTGGCTTGGGTAATTAGACCATTTTAGCAGGTTTTCATTGTGACCTCACCAGAGGGAGGTGCCCTATGAGCTTCAGCTCCCTACGTTGCTAAGTGGACCTTGACCCTCTTAAGCCAGTTGAGTGCTTCAGCAGCCAGGCCTCAGCTTCAGAAGGGCTTCCAGCACTTGGTCCTGGAGCTTGCGCTGGCCCTAGAGGCTCAATTGAACTTGGCGGCTCCCGGCCATCCGGTTCCTTAGCTTTTTAGCAATTTCGTGTTTCGTGGGGATTTGCATTTCAGCCACTAAAGGTTAAACTTTTAGCAGGGGATCTGAGGACAGCCCAGTGAAGGTCGTGAATCAGTGAAGGACTCTTTCGGACTGGGCCATTGATCGCTTAGGTTCGAATGCTGGGGTGTGGGGGCGAAGGCCTGGCTGCGGGGGAGTGGGTGCCCTCGTGATATACCTTGGACGCCTAAACGGGTATACGGCCTACGTGCTCGGATACAGAATGATAATTTCCCAGGAATACCGGTGCAACTGCCGGGATATGAGGTTGGCTTCAACTCACGTTGAGGGAAGGTGAGAGAAGGGACATGTCTAGGGAAGATGCAGTGCAAATCGAAGGTAGGATGTGCTTCACAGCTGGTTTTCCGATTAGGTACCTGGCAACAACACAAGCTTTGAAGCAATGCCCAACATCATGTTCCAACATGCTCGGAGCAAGACCGCTTGCAAAGTGCGATTGTCCAGCTCTCGAGGCATTTGTGGTAAACGCTTGGATGATCATCTTGCATGGAGCTATATGGGTATGGGTCAAAATTAACCCACCAGGGGACCGCAGGTTGTAGTCATTGTTTCCATTCACCAGGGCAACCCATTTTGGGTACCTATTTTTGACCCACACCCCATATGTGTGACAACGCTGACGGTTTGAGCGGACTGGCCGGGCGGGTTGCCACGCAGCAAGCTTGCTGCGAGGAGTTCTCATCTTTTTGCCCGGGCGCCTGAGCAGGGTCAGGGGAATGGCTGCCTTCTCAATGCATCATGAAAGCTCCTGTCCACAATGGCGATTAATTAAACGGGGCGTGGCTTCCTGGCTTGTGCAAGCTTCAGAAGCTCATCATGGTTGTTGTTGGGAAACATTTTACATTTTTGCTTATTGTTTTTTAGTGGGAAAACCCCTCTTAACCACTATTTTTTGTTTTCTCCCCTTCCAACGTTAACCAGGGGCTGGTCTTTGTTTGCACGGTGTAATTTATTTTTGCTGAGTTGGCCACGCTGCTCTTTTTTTTTCAGCGCCCCAGGCCCCAGCTCTGGCGCATTGGGACAACTGAGGGGTTCCATGCTGGAGTAACATCAATCAGACACTCTCATGAGTCAGTCGAACCCTTTAAACGATCAAGACACGCTCATGAGTCGAAGCCTTTAAACGACCCATTCCAGCCATATGGTTTAGACCCACTTTTTCTTTTTTGGAGGAGCCCTTGGGCGGGGACCCGTAGCCCCAGTTTGAGAGGCCCATAGAATTCCCGAAGCCACCGCCTCGACACAGACACATGATGGCTCAAAATTAAACCATGAGGATATGGACCGCAGGTTTTAGTCTTTGTTTCCATTTACCAGGACAACCCATTCTGAATACCTATTGTTGACCCACACACACACATGGTGGTGCGAGTGCTTCCAGTTGCGTGGCAGCATAGGCCAGGCATCAACGAGATCTCCGAGATGTTTGATGTGCCCTGCAGATGTGCTAAGCGTGGAACAAGAGGACCGCGTTGCAACCTGAACGTGCAGATGAGTACCCAAGCCACAAGCAGTTGGCATAATGTGCTTATAGCGGCATCTCTTTCTTGAAATGTCTCCAGACCTTCAACAGCTTGTATGCACGGGATGATTGGCATAGTTTGGACATTGGCAGGCCAGATGTGTTTTTCTTGCCTTTTTTCTACGGAAGTCTTGGCTTTGGTGGCAAGTTGTCAGATGTGAATGGCAATCTAATCGTTGGTTTGGTCTAGAACATGTGGATCAGGGATGATTTGTCGGCAATGTTTCGAGCGATTCGTGTAATGAAACAACACAGGATGTGAGAATGAAGAGCAGAAGCAGCAACATCCTTTAAACAAATATTCGATCAATCTTCAAACTAACATCAAACAGTCTCCGAGAAATATCATCTCCGACAAACATTTGCAAGACCTACATCAGCGCGCAGGTACTGGAGGTTCTTGAACAGCCGGAAGAGCAGAAAGGCGGAGCAGTGTTTTGCGGATATTGCTGGTAACCGAAACCCAGTTGCTCGGTGGGCACCCGCTTTTTCTTTGTTTGGTGCGTCTTTAAAGTGATCAACCCACAAAGGCTCCCTTTCTGTAACAAGTTCTTTGAACAACTAACTCAACTCTACACGACATGAATAAGACGAAATATGATAGATGAGTCTGTAGAAAACATCAAAAGCACATCAAACGACCTTCTGACCAAATTTCCTTGGTGCTTCCTTCAGCGGGTATCCCAAGGGTTCTGAATTCAAAAGAGTTGCTTATCGTCCAACACACACTTGTGTTGTAGCCCATGAGGCACCATCTGATTCTCTCCGAGGGACCCAGGGACTGCTGCACACGCCCAAATTTGGGCCCAGACCAGTTGAACAGCCCCTGTTCTTTGGGGGCCTTGGAGGCTGCAGCTTGTCGCAGCAGTTGTTTTTCTCCAATGGGAAACCCCCAAATTAAGTGTTGTTTGTTCCCCTTAATTTCTATTCGAAATACACCCACAGGATTTTTCAACCCAAAGACAAGCTCACATGATCTACTCATTGGCTCGCCGGTCGTCTTCCGGAGGCGTGCGTCTCTCTGTGCAGCGGTTTGTAGTCCTGGCCTGAAACCTGTTGGGGCGATTGGCCTCCATGTGTGCACATACGGAAAACAGGGTTGAGCCATTTTGGCCATTCAACTCGTTCGCTTGAATAGCTCGAATCTGGGATGTCGGCAGCCATGCTGCGCCTCTTTGCGGTGGGCCTGAGCCTGTGCTATGCCGATGAAGTGTCTGACTACCTCAAACGCCGCGACCAGCCGCTCTGCCGTGAAGGACTCATGATCTCTAGCAACAGGTCCTTGGCTCATGCCAATGAAAGATCCCAAATCCGCGATTAACATGCTGGACTAAATGCGAGGGCTCATGGGAGACAACAAGTCGCCGGAAAGGTATGATGCGGGGTGTTTTCTTCTTCCGGGCTTCTGCGCTTGTGGACGCCCCGATTTCCCAAGAGATCAAGACAGCAGATCCTGGCATGATGCTTTTCGCCAATCGAGTAGCTGAGGTTCCTGCAGCAGGAGCAGTCGATGGCGGATGGTGCATCGGAGCAGCTGACTGAGGCCTGAGGGTTAAGAGGCTGAATGGGAGAGAAGCCGGAGAGAAGCACGGCCGCAGATTTACGTGGAACCCAACCAACCATGCGATGTAGAGGAAGCTCCTGTTTCTGGGAAAGTTCAGATCAATCTTCAGGGGGCCCGATGGGCTAACTTTGGACGGGGCGTGGTATTTCAGAGGGAACTTGTTCCACTGTGGCAAACGCCATCCGATTGATCCCGGTCGACGCACACAGCTTGCATAATGTCTTCCCATGTGTGGCACCCCATTAAGAAGCGCAGCCAAGACCTGTGGGTTCTTCCGAAGCCACATGGCATGCGGCATCACGCGAAAATAAAGGTTGACAGGCTAGGGGCCTATTCGACAAAGCCAGCCATTTTGGGAGGACGAGCAGCGGTTTGACAAGTGGCTGGGCTCAACTGTGCAGAGCCTCATTTCCCAGTACAAGATGCTTGGCTGCCACAGAGGCCTTTTGCTTTCCTGCGTTGGAGCATTTGGACAGTTGATGTATGATGTTGTCAGCTCCTTCAGGTTCGATACAGACTTGGTGTACGCTCTCTGGGCACTGGGTCCCATCTGAATGTTTGAATGGATCTGTGGCATATTACCATGAAACTCTACCTACCCCGCATGTAGAGGATTGTTATGATTCCCTGATGATTGTTCCTTAAGATGACGAACGTCTAAGACGAACGATGCTCAACGGTTGTGGGCGGCCCTTCAAAGGCAACTCAAACTGAATCCAGGGTCCCAACAGGGCCCCGTAAACCACCCAACCGCCGCTTTCAGCATCGATTATTTTTTTTTGTTTTTCCCCCAGTCAGCAAATGCAAGGAAGGAGCGCTTGGTGGATCACTTCGTTCCAGCGACCTACTTTCCGAAGCTTGGCTGGGAAGGAGGAGGCGATTCCGGCACCTCAAGCAATGGATAGAGAGGGGGCGCTCCATGCAGCGTTTAGGAGGCCACGGGCAGAAAGCTCTTCGGGCGGAGCCCCGCACGAAATGCGGAGATTTTGCGCTTTGACCTGCGTATGAAACACACCCTTCGGACTAGCACAGCGCAGCGTTGCGTTCATGAAAGACTGTTATGGGGTTTTTAGTTTGAGTGAGACATTAACGTATTGGGCTTCTTCGTTACGCATCACATGTTTATATTTGTCGATCACTGGTCGATCACTTTACGCAAAGCAGTCGTGGCGTTTTTCCTCCACGTGTCTCCGCGATGTACCCCTAGTAAACCCAGACCAATTATTTGCGGGCACAAGGAAAGTATTGTTTGCAGGGGCCACGCTTTTCCCGGCTTGCGTATCGAAGCACGTAGTAGCCCCATCAATGATGTAGGCCAGGCTTCTTCTGTAACCAGGAGAACTTTGGGCATATGTGGCGTTTGGCTTTGGTTGTCCGTTCTTTCCTAGGAGAGTGCGCGAACACATCGAGAACACCACCTTGCAGCTCGGCGGTGCGTGTTAACTTCGGGATTTCATTTGAGCACTTGAGATCCCGCTGAAGAAGCCGGGGTAAGAAGGGGTTAGCTTATAATGCAAGTTGTTACTTCCTGCTCTTGGAGCTTGTCAAACGTGCAGTAGAAGCTCTTTGGTGGGGGGGCTGGGTCCATTTGTGGGACCTCTTTTGGGAGGCCGAGTACGCATACTAGCTACTGTTTCACTTTTGGAACATGTTGACCGCGTCCCGAGTAGATCCCAGTACCAGTTTCAATGGAGGAAATCAACTTCTCAGTCCACGCCTTGCCCACTGTGTGTCTTGTTGAATGCGTGACTCGCCAGCAACGCTGGGAAATTGAGTTGTCTTGTTGGAATCCAGTTGTTGAGAGGGCATCCTGTTGTCCTTTGTGGGGGGGGTGCTACATTTCCTCTCACAATCAAGCAACACAACGATTGGTCGATGTTTTGTCCCAGTGGGAAACCACTGGACAAGTGCACGCAGCGACATCAGCCCATGCCGATCCGCTGCCAACTGCTTGTTTTCACCTTGCAGGTGCTGGCTTGCCCTTCGTCCGACGCTGACCTACCCACTTGGGACTTTTCAGTCTTCTGATGTTCAGTCTTTCGAAGGGAAGGCTTGTTACTTGTGTCGATTGCGCACGTCCTGTATTGGAGCCAGAGGATCGTTTGAGGGATGCCGGCAAATTCCGTTTGGCATGTGTTTGCCGGATCCTGCAAACCCCATGAACCTTTGCCTATGGCCAAGGGCAAGGTAGCACCATAAACCGGTTGTAGAGAGGATTCAAATCATAACAACAGGGCAAACCAATGCAGGAAGGCCCCCGTTGCGGGTTCCAGCCTTCTTGCCTCACAGCTGCAAAGCCCACGGCATTGAGGATTTTCATGCATCTTCAGACATGACCAACCCGAAGATCCCGTATTCCCTTGTGTCCCACTATATCGAAAATAGGAGGACTGGTAAGGATCCCCACCCAGGAGGTCTCAGGATCCAGATCGAATCAGGAGAACCGGGATTTCGAATTGGGAGGACCGGGATCCTCACTAGGGGTCCCACTAATCGAATCAGGAGAACCGGGATCACCATTTGGGTGTGGGTCAAAATCAAGCCACCAGGGGACCGCAGGTTTTAGCCTTGGGTACCTATTTTTGACCCACAGCCATTCTGAAGAGCCAGCTCGTGAGGTACAAGATGCTGCGGGCCATGCCCAAGGGGGGCGCCCTCCACTTGCACTTCGAGTCCGCCTCCTCTTTGGAATGGATCGTTCAGCGCGGCGCCCTGCAAAAAAACAGTCCGCGGGGTGAAACGAGCCGCGCCAATCGGAACTCCCCTTGGATGAAGCTGGGGGCTCAACAGCACGTAACTTTCAGCTCTCTCAGATGGAAGCCGGAAGAGGAGGGGTCCGCGTTGAGAGGCATGCGCCTCGAATATACTACAACCCTGTTCCACATGACAGTTATTGCCATTGACCGTTGTGATCAATGTGACCCGTATCACCTGCCCAGTTGTGAAAGTTGGCGGCCCCTTTTGCAATTATGTGTTCCAGTTGCCCCTCGTCTGAACAGTGACCGTGTGGCTATGTTCTCCAAACATGCAATGCAGCATTGCGTGTACAAGATGCACCGTTGTACAATTGGCTGATTTAGCAGCAAGTTTTGCCCACATGTCCTTCTTTAATCCTTTCCCACACCTTCACACCCCTTTGATTTTCGGAGCGGGTTTGCCCTGAGAATCGCCTACCAGACGCAGAGGTCGCCTTTTTTTCCCCAAAAGCCACTGGGGGCGTCTGGGCTGTAGACCCGTCTCACATGTCCCTTTCGCACGCTCACCGCAAGGTATTGACCTTCCGGGATGCCACGCCTACTGGCCGGAAGGCTTGGATTCGGATCGCCTTTTCCCGAGCGGGTCGGCGATTGTTTTGGGTTCTACTGGCTTCCGGGGGGTTGGTAAGCTGTTTAACATGGGGGTGTGTTTCCCTGGTTTTAGTGGGGATTTATCACTTTTGGAGGGGACCCCTCGATATTAGTAAACTGGGGCTTATAAATTAATCCGGGGTCAATATTCATCTAAGAAACCAACTACAGGAAATTCTATAGGAACCCCTGAATGTTGTGGGTATTTGGCAGACTTCCTGTAAAATTTCCTATAATTGGTTTCTATGAATTAAAGGGTTGTCAATGGCTTGTGCACCTTTAGAACTGGTTGCCATGTTGGCATCAAACATCGGAAGGCTTTGGAGGCAGTTGCAACAATGAGGGCAGGAGTCCTGATGGATAAATGCCAGGACAAGACAAGCCGGGCTTGCCAATCTCCCTAACTTCCTGCTTCTCGACACCCAGCCTGTCAATCTTGCTTGCATATTGTGAATATTCGCAAAGGGGCGTAGCATGCCTGACGTGGACCAAAAGTGTGCTTGGCCATTACCCGCATTGTTTTTTTGTTGACTCTGTGGGGTCTTGACGTGTCCGTGGGTTCAAGACCGCATAGATACAAGCATATGCACAGTATGTGGCATACCCTCCCACCAATTGACGTGGAACCTGACAGCGGGTCCCTTCAAAAGGAACATGATCTTCCAGGACCCCCCTGTCAGGTTCCATGTTAGTTGGTGGGAGGGTACGTGCAGTATATTTTGTATACATGAGCCACAATCAAAACCGGGCTCTGGGTCAAACATTCTAATACCAGGTTTTGATGGTGACTCACATGGCTTGATTCCTATCGAATTCGACCCGGGATCTGGGATCTGCTCCGGCCGGACTTCGCCGTGAGCGCCAGGCAATGCCACGAAGGTGCCGTTGGGCACCTTGGCCTTCTTCAACGCCACGCAGGCGGGGGGGAATGTTTGGTCATACCTCTAGGGGTACCTTCTTTCCAGAAAACGTTATTCTTTCTAGGGATCCTTCTTTCTAGAAAACTTCAGGGAAAATAGCTTGTTTTGAAAAGAACGATGGTTGAAAAGAATGGGGGAATCAACCCCTAGAATACCGATGGACGAAATCCTGCACGAGTTGGCAAAGGAGAGTTCAAACATATAGAAGGCACTAAAAAGGGCGGCAGGCTGTTTCTCCTGGTATAGGGTTTCTTTCATTTTAGATTCAGAGCCGAGAAACGTGACTATCAGTAAACTAGGGGCCATTGAGGACCATTAAGGGCCACATCCCTCCGATGGCTTCCTTGCCATGGCATTCCGTGGCTTTTGAATCAGTATTGGCTTTACCTCTTCTTCTTTCTTTTTGTCTTCCTTTTTTTTTTTTGGGGGGGGGGGCATGTTTTTGTGAGTGGGTTGCTTGGTGCTTGGTTGCTTGGTTGCTTGGTTGCTTGGTTGCTTGGTTGCTTGGTTGCTTGGTTGCTTGGTTGCTTGGTTGCTTGCTTCGTTACTTCGTTAGTTCGTTGCTTCGTTGCTTCGTTGCTTGCTTCGTTGCTTCGTTGCTTCGTTGCTTCGTTGCTTGGCTGAACTGGTTGCTTGCACTGCTGCGACATGTTTCGCACGGCAGCGGGGTACAGTAGCTTGCTCAGTTCACAGGATGTTTTCCGCGTCATGGTGGGGTCACCCTCACATTGCCGCTTTTTGCGGAAACCCTTTGTAGGCTTGCCCAAGGCGCCTGAGTTTTTGAGCAACTTGCAAAGAGACGAAGATGGGCGGTCAACGTCCTTTTGTTGCAAGTGGAGGGTTTCTTCTAGCTTGGCTCGGTGTCCCCCTTGCTCCCCTTGTACGGATGATTTGGCTGCGGGTCAAGACACTGCACCCCTGGTGAACATCAAAATGTGTGGCCAATGGATGTTCATCCACCCCAAACTGTAGCCAGAGGTTATGCCCCATGTCCATTTGCTTGGTGCCCAGGTCGCCTCTCACAGGATTCTACCATTTGGTTAAGTTTTTGTTTTCCCCCCTGTTGGTTTTAAAGGGAACCTATCACTGCTGGACATATTTCTATTTGTTTTTTCTGGGGGACTTAAGCAAATGGAGGAGTTTGGAAAACCTCCAAGGCCAAGACGCCGGGCTTCCTTCCCATCCCGGAGCTCCTGAAGCGCATGCCCGACTTCCGGCAGCGGCTGCTTCGGATGTTGACCACGCACCAGGAGGAGAGGGACTTCCAACAAAAATATATCTTCTGGGTCCAAAGTCAAAATTGCCCGTTACATGGAACGGTTACAAGGGGTCCATTCAAGTCAAAATTACCCGTTACATGAAACGGTTACAGGGTCAGCCACTCCCCAGGATCCCCCCAAGATGATGTCAGAACGTGCTCTTGTGCGCGTTCCTGAACACACGCGTTTGGATGAATTGCCCAATGGAGGTCAAGAACAAACCAACCACCTGCAGAGGCCCCAAAATTCGAGAAACACGCAGGTGGACGGTCAAAGGTTTCCGAAACAGCGTCGACTTCCAACAATGTTGGTGTTTGGCCCGTTGGGGCACATTAAAGTTAGCACGTGCAGGTTGCCAGTTCGCAGTCTGAGCTTTGTTTGATGGTGATGTTGAAACGAGGCTGCAGGCCAATGAGAGCACGCGAGAGCTAAGGATTCACGCAAGCTTATCAGCATGGTTTATGGGCAAATTAGCTGGAGCCTCAGGCTTCTTATTTGGATATCGTCTGAGTTGGCAAAGGGTTCAGTAGTTGTTTTGTATCAGGCTGGCAGTCAGGGGTGGAGCTTTACAGATTCCGACAGAATCTCCCCCCCCCCTAGCCGGAAGCTGACGCCCGATGCCTGCTCCACATGCTGGCGGAAGTTGGAGGCCACGCATGATTGCACAGCGCTCACAACCTCGAAAAGCAAGATACATGACCGTGGGTCAACACCAATGGTACCATTTTGGGGTAGGTGCACCACCCATTTTAGTCTATTTTACTGGGGATTGGGATGTTCACTGGGGGTGCACATCTTCCCAAGACAGGGTTGTTTCCGCACGTAACGTGGGGGACGGGGTGGGGGGTTCTTTGGAGCTTCCTATTCGGGCCTTTGCCGTGCCACGCTTTAGCGCGGATCTTCTCCAGCTTCGGCCCTTTGCCCTCCTTTGCAGGACGAGAAGCTGACCTCCCCACAGATTTGGCAGAAGTTCCAGGCGCGCAAAAGACCAAAGAGCCAGGGTGCGACCTCAAAAGGGGACCCCTGCTTTGTTAGTTGAAGCTGTCATTTCTTGGATTCTTATTGTGGTGCTTCTTGCTTTTGTATTGCTGTGTTGCTTTGGATGCTATTTTGGTTTCGCTTTTTGTTGCTTGTCGGTTGGTTCGCCGGTTGTTTGTATTTTGTTGGTGGTTGTGATAACACACACACACATAGGCATACATTAACTTGCTGGTGTTGCATCAGAGTCCATTCATTTTTTACATGGAGCCTGTCTTGTCTGTACAGCATCGGCAATTATCGTCGCCAACAGGAAGCTGGAATGACCAACCACGTGCATTTGCCGGCAGGGCGCGCTGCCGCAGAGAATGCGTCGCTACACAAGCAACCCCTAGCAGAAATCAGCTTGTGGGAGTGTTGAAATTGTTCGGGCCAAGTGACTGCAGCTTTCCAGCCGGATGTTTGCGAATGTTTGCCGTAAGGTACGCGAAAAGTTTTGCGAAAGTCGATGTCCTCCCCACCGAGTTTTTTTCGCGTGCAGCTGCACGCCTTGTGGGCTGGAGCTGCGCAAGCGCGTTCTGCGTACTACTTTGGAAATGAAAAGTTGCGACTTTTGAGCTGGCGATTCGGGTGTTTATTTCGCGTACTACTTTCATATTGAAAAGTTGCAACTTTCGCGGCGGGGCTACAGAAGTTTACTTCTTGTGTCGTGCTGCTTTTGTATTGCCAGGTTGGGACGCTCGAGACGAGGCTGCGGAAGCTTACTTTGTGTACTACTTTCGTGTTGAACAGTTGCGACTTTTGAGCTGGGGCTGCGGTACTTTGTGTACTATTTTTCTGATAAACGTTGTGAAAACAGCCCCGCAAAAGTTCTGCGAGGGGGTTCGCGAAAGTTCTGCTTTCTCGCGAAGATGGCGGCATCCGGAGCAAGGAATTTCAGCAACCGTCAAATATATTTATATATATACATATATATATATATGCATATATATATATACCGTAGAGATATACGCATTTATACAGATATGCATTTTTGTCCTGCACCTCGTGTACCTTCTCTGAGGACGTCTTCACAAGGGTTGGCCAGTTCTTCCAGCTCCGCACCGTAGTGGAGCAGTATTTGGCGGCCACCGCCGAGGAGTTTCTGGCGGACGGGGTGCAGCACGTGGAAATCCGCGTCGCGGCAAGGTAGCCGCCTGTTGCCTCCATGTCTTTCACGTTTTTTTAAACGTCCCTTGTTGGCCTGCTGGTGTCTGAAGGTAGAATCTCTCCCTTCTGACTTTTTGTTTTAATTATAATTATTTTCAGGGGGCTGAAGCAATTAGAGACCGATCGGGGCTAAAACGAGCTGCTCAGCCGCTCTGCATGAAGGTTCCTTGAATTGGGGATCCAATTCGCTTCAGGTTCTGGAATTGCGGCCGTTTGCCCACAAAGTAAAGACGTTTGCAGGATTTCGCTCTCAAACGTTGGGAGATGTACAGAGCCCATGTCAAAATGCCGAGGTTGCAAGGAAACGGTGGAGAGAGACTCATGAAGATTCGCACCAGGGAATGAGATAAGAGAGAGAGAGAGAGAGAGAAAAAGAAAGAGAAAGAGAAAGAGAAAGAGGCAGGGGGGTGTGCTGAGCATTCCAATAGTTACAACAGCAGCGCTGTCGCGGAAAGAGGAAACCCCTCTATGACATGATTTGTGTCGCTTCAATCTCCTTAAGCAAAGTTGCTTCGACGCGCAATTAGTGAATGGTAATCTTTCTCGCTTTGGCTTTGGTTGGAACCCACGCAGGGCTCCAATTCTTTTGATATGCTCCAGGCATCAACCTGTTCTCTGACTCCTCGGGGGACTTGTTTGACCTGGATGGCCGCGTGTACCGAGGACCGCGGCCTAAGCTTGGGTGTCACGAAGCCGGGAAGCATTGGGCGTACCCGCCCTCCTGGAATGAGGCATTCGGATTGACTAAGGAACCGCGCAGTTCTATACGGTGGATGCCCTAACTGTTGCAGGTGGCAAAGCAAGGGAACCCCTGTTATTAGCCACACATTGCCAAGGTTGTTTGGCTAGGTATGAGTGGTTTTCGTGTACTTGTTTGGGGTCCGCAATTCGAAGCCTATATCCAACAAGACTTCCCGGCACAGAGGAGCTGCCAAGCTGGACGTGTACGAACGCGTGATCCAGAATCTGCACCCTTGCTAAAACTGCAAGTGGAAGCTCCAGTTCCACCTCCCAGAAAAAGCTAGGGTAAAGGTTTGGTGACATCAATAGTATTTGTGTCCCTTTTACCAGCGTGATGTTGGTCGAACTTGGACTTCTTGGTCTAGTGCTGAACGGCTGAACGTTGAGTCTCGAAGTACTGCCCGTTGCTTTTGGAAAATTGGTTCCCGCACATCTAGTGAGCGCATAGTGAAAGCTGCCGCTTTTGAATCTGGCGCTTGTGATTTTCCCCACCCTTAAAGAAACTTGGCATAAAGGAAGGCCCCAAAACAATCAGATTAAGCATGATCCTGGGCTCCCATGGGCACTCCCACCGTTTTCGACTCTTTGGACATGTGTAGTGTTTGTGTTCTTTGTTTCATGAACATGTGCTTATATTAATCCTGAACCTGATTGTTTGGGGACCAACCACTAAATTGAGTTTCCTAGATGTAAGGCGTTTAGCCGCTTAGCCTCCGAGCTGGGAGCTTGATTAGAGAACCCTCCCTTCAAATGAACCATGCTAGGGCTTTGTGTTTGCCCGCATTTTCTATCGGGAGCCGCAACTTTCTATCATTCAAGACTCTTAAAGCAGTCGGACGATCTTAGCCTTTTAGCTTTTGTAGTGTTTAGTGGTAGTTTCCATTTAACCCACTAAAAGTGGGTCACTTTTCGCGGGGGGTCTGAGGGCAGACCAGATACGGAACCCCTGAGGCAGCAGAAGCACCCCCAGCTCTCTGTGAAGCTCATCGGATCCAGCTTCCGCTTCAAGCGCCCGGAGGCCAATTTTTGGGAGCAGCCAAAAAGAGGGCCTGGTTGTTGGGGAGAGGGTTACGGGGGGAATGAAAAGCGAAGCATCTAGGTGAGGTCAGCCTTTTCCGAAGGGAAACCAAAGGCCGTAATGGGTGTGAGGGGCCACTTGCTTGTTGCATTTGTTAGGGAAAAGGTTAAAAGGGAAGCCAATGCTTTCGGGGGTCCGCCAATTTGAGACAAACCTCCGGGAGAAAAGGTGCAGAAGTTCATGGCAAAAGTTGAGGTGGCTAAGGGCTTGCTCACTCCCTGCGGGATAGCTTTGGGTGAATCGGTGGGCTTGCCATTCCTTCGTTCGCTTCGGTCAGGACCTTCGCAAGGACTTGGCTTTGGCCCTGGAGGCCGATTTGAATCCATCGGAGTTTTGGGATGGGGGTGGTCAGGGCTTTTGCGGCTTTGTCCAGGGGCTGGCACAGAAGAGGGACTTGTGGGCCAACTGTCATTTCCTCATGAGGACTTGTGTCTTTTTGACGGTCGATCAAAAGATGTTTTGTGGACAACATCTCCCCTGTTTGTCGGTACTTATATAGGACACCCGGAGATATGGGTTTGCCCAACTTCCCTTGTTCCAGAACGAATCCGCATAGCAATCAGCCAGGTCGCTGAAATCCTGGCCGCCCAACGCTTTCTGTAAAGGGGTTAGACGTGAACAAGGTGGTTCAAATTAGACATACTAAAAGTTCTGCCAGTTCCCCAACTTTCTTGATCGCTATGAGGACCAATCGCCGGCGACCGGATGGATGCCATGTCGCATTGGGCTCGCTAGTAAGTGGAGTCTATGAGCACGAGGGCGTGTGGAAATCACGTTTCCCTTATCTCGTGGGCCTGGGCTGGGGGGCTGAAGGGGTTAAAAAACAATTCTAGAACCGAATTTGAAATAGTGGGGCAATATCAAGAGCATCTCCCAAGGTCCAAAGATTTCCACAACAGTCCTTCTTTTTTTCAGGGAACTCTTGTCTTTTTTCCAAATGACCACATCTTACCGTCCAACGTGGGGCTGGGGAGTGGCTAAACCTAGGGTGTCCTTGTTGGTTAGGTTGGTCAAGAGATGGATTCCAGAGGTTTCGACGTCAACGTTTCCTCCAACAAACACTTGAAACAGTGGCGTTGTGGTGCGCAATGGTGCGCATCCCCCCGCCTGCCCTGTTCAATCAAGCGAACGACGCAGGTGAGGAAGCAGCGCCCTGACTTGCTGGTGGGATGGGATGCGCCAGGTGAAGAGGACGCGAACTTCGAGCGTTTCGGGCCACCTTCGCAGTGATACTTTTGGGAGTTCCATTCAAGTACTACGCAAAAGCTCGTACCTTTGTGGCCGATCCACTGAGGAAGTGACTTGTGAGTGGTTTTTTTCCAGAGATCCTTCGTCCTAGCTGGAATTGGCGCAAAAAGTGAGTTTGTCTCCCTTTGTCGCTGAAGTGAAAAACTTCCCACATGCCTGGAGGAAGGGCACTATTTCTTTCGTGCCTTGGCGACACTCTGTTTGGTTTTGTGTGGTCCTAATTTTGGGAACGCGCAGGAGGGAATTCCACACATACAAGACTTCGGAACCCACGCATGGCCTCGCCTGGTGAGGACGCCGGCCGCCCCACTCTGGACTATGCACGACAGCTGCTGGACATTCAGAGCCTTGGGCAGAGCGAATCGGCCAGCTTCGGCGTTTGATTGTAATGTGGTTGTGGGTCAAAACCAATGGTACCATTTGGGTAATTAGGTGCACCACCCATTTTAGTCTATTTTAGTGGGGATGTGGGATGTTCACTGGGGTATGGGATTTTGACCCATGGCCATGTGTGTCACTGATTATGAAAGCCCTCCCGACCAAATGGTGGGGGACCATATTGAGGAAGCCGGGATAACAATTTGGAGGTCAGATTGCGTGGTATAGGATCCTGCTGCAGAGGGAATACCAGGGCGAAGACCAGAAAAGTGGAAGGGTTGGAATATTGCCGGCCGGATTTGTGGCCAGACAAAAGACAATGTAGCGCCCTTTTCATTTTGGGGGTAGGGAATGACCTTTGGCAACACGTGAATGTTTCTTTGGTACCCTTTAATTTGCATCGGGTACCGACATTGCGGTTTTGGCAACCGATCTGAGTCTTTGGTTGCCAAAACCCTAGTGTCGGTACTCGATGAGGATCCAAGGGTGTTGAGCACTTTTTTTGGTTGAACCTCTTTTTGTATAAGCACATCCAGTTTGACGTTTCTGCTTATTGCGCTTCAATCATTTTAGCAACCATTTGTTGTCAAGGTTCAAGTTGTTTTATTCTGCTTGACTGCTATTGGGTTGGATCTTTAGACTTTAACTTTTAGGGAAATAAAGGTGTTTTCCACTAAACCCCAAAAAGTTCAACTTTTTGCAGGGAACAGCAACCAAGTTCTGGGTTCCACAAGTGAGGAACCAGTCCCGCAGCGCCGGGGTGGATTTGCCGCTGATGCTCCACGACGGCGAGGCGGGATCTGATGATCGGGTATTGGGCCTGCCGCTTTCTGGTGGTACCTTCGGAGGATCCAACCAGATTTGAGCAACAGGCAAGACTCCCCTTTCGGAGGCTCCTGGAAGACCCGACCTGTCCATTAGACACCCCGGAGGCTTGGGGGTCTCAAAAGTTTGAAGGCCCTACATCAATCGGGAGCCTCTATGCATTTAACCTCCTGCGGTTCCAAGGGGAAGCAGGGGAGTTGTAGTAAGTTGGGCATATGTTGTGGAGGTGTTGAATCAAGTGTCACAGACTTGCCTGTGGTCACATATTTCCTTGGGCAGTTGCATCATGTGCGCGGTTCGTTGCTCCCGTCAACCTCAGCAAGAATAGCCCCTCACGATATGAGCAATTGACAGGAGGCTTCTCCATGGTACAGGCAATCCGACGGATTCGGGCATCAGCTGACTACAGAGTATGTGGGCTCGATTCCCCCCTGTCCCGCCCCCCAGCACGAGCGCATTCCCAAAATCTCGTCCACATGTTTGCAGCTGGGAAAGGCAACCCCCCCCACCAGCTCCCCTTTCGTGCAGAGCGATTGGTCCACCACCAACGCGGTGGACGCGGTGCTGTTGGGGACCAAGCGCCTGGGCCACGGCTTCAACATCGTGGGCCACCCGTTGCTCATGGAGGAGGTGTGGGCCTCGACACCTCGCTCGGTGGCGGTGAGTTTTTGCTTTGAAGGGCGGGTTTGGGGTGGGGGGGGTGGTGGTGGGTTGTGGGGGGGTGGGGGGTTTGCGTGTGCTGGACGTTTTTAGGGTTTGTGGTCTCACGATCTCCATGGCAAGGCAAGTTGGAGATCCTTCTGGGGAACCCTTTTCGGGGTGCAAGTGAATCTGCAGGGGGGGTATCTGGCTGGATTTGTCAACGATTAAGTAGTCTTCCGCTGCCAAGCATGGATCCAGCAAAGCAAAGTAATGACCACCAGCGGTTTAATCTCCAACGACAGCTCACACCCCTTTATACCCCTTTGACTTGACAAAGCTCTCCCTGGATTAGAAGTGAAGCCGTTCTAAGGGTATGGATGTTGATTTGAAACTCCGCTTGCTTTCATCTGGTCCTATGGTCGCTCGGGACTCGCAGCAACAAGATGTGGGAAGCGTTTTGGGAGCTCAAAGTGCCAGAAGCAGAAGCCCACATAGAGGGAGTCTTTGTAGGTTCATTGCTTATTGTTGGGAGGACAGTCCATGGAGTTGTGCTTCTTTTTCGCGTGGAAGGCAAGAGTGGACACCAAGAGGAGGCCAATTTTTCGAAGCTCGTCCAGATGATTCAAGCAGAAAGACATGTGGGTGTGGGTCAAAAAACAGGTACACAAAATGGAACCCTGGCAAATGGAAACAAAGACGAAAACCTGTGGTCCCCTGGTGGTTTAATTTTGACTCACGCCCATGCTTTGCGCCGTCCAGACCGCGCCCAAATACTAATCCGCTTCGTTCCAGGTGAAGTCGAAGGGTGTGGCCATCGAGGTTTGTCCCATCAGTAGCTCGACTGCGCTTTAAGCACAGGCCGGAACTGGGGCTCAGATGCTCGAGGGCTGGGGGTGGGCAAGTCTGCTTCTCAAGGGAGCCTTTCCATTTTGAGGCCTGCCTAGTTGTTCCGCTTCCTTCCTGGATCCGCGCCCACCGAGTGGACGCTGTTCAGGGGGGGTTCTTGCCTTTGTCTTGTCACTGTGAGCCTTTCAAAGATGATCAAAACCACTGGGAAGAAGCATTCCAGGGGCATCCTTCTTTTCAGGAACCATCAAAAACCCAGGGGAAACCGCCGGTTCTTAAAAAGAACGATGGTTGAAGCATGTTGAAAAGAATGGAGAAGGAATCAACCCCTTAGGGCCAAATCACCCTGGCCCATTCGGGTCTTCCAGTCGCCCTTAGGCAACCAGGTGCTGCGCTACATCTCGGACCTGCGCCTGCACCCGGGCCAGCGCATGCTGCAGAACGGCTTGCCAGTGGTGCTCTCCTCGGATGACCCGGGCATTTGGGGCGCCAGGCCTGGCCTATGGCTCCCAGTTCAGTGGGTTCCACTCCCGCCACTCCTAGGTCCCCCACTAGTGCCCTTCTCTCCCCTTTTTTTGGGGAGGCTTCGCCTATTAAGCGACACTACAGAAAAAGGGGTACCCTTATCCTAACCTCTCTACTGGAGGATCTAGAGTCTCTAATTGTTCAAGAGTGTCAGCAGAAAAAAGCCTGGCTTTCCTTTGACGCGCTGCTTTAAATGCTGGAAATTGCATGTGGCGCACACTCCCAGTGCTGCCCACGATAGTGAGGAAGTTGACTGTCAAAGGCTGCACCATGGAAGGGCATGTCCTGACGCAAGAGACCTGCCACACAGTATAAAAACCAGACTTGCTGTGTAAAGCGGCCGGCCATGCAATGGTCTGAACCTCTCAGAGCTAAGTTGGAGGCATGCGAGGCCCTTCTTTTGCCAGGGGCTTGAGCCACGACTTCTGGGAGGCTGGGCCGAACGGCAGGGTGGACCTGTTTTGTGCCGGAGTCCTTTTGGTATGCCCAACCTGTGCCCAACACTTGGGGCGCCCGGGAGGAAGGGGGGGCCACAGGGACTCGCCGCAGAAGCACTTTGAAGCAGATGTTGCTTGAGGAAGGTACCCTTGGCTGCGGGGAAGCCGTGCGTAATTCCTTGCATCGCCTTAGTTGGCTCGAAGGGGCGGTGACTTCCTAGTGAGCTGGGGTGTAGGGTTACGCCCATGCACACTCGAACAGTGGAACACACACACACACCACAAAATCTGCTTGGATGCCTGCGGGGTGGGGTTTCTTCTCAAACGGAGGGTTGCTCAGCTTTCATTCAGGCGTTGAAAGAAATGAGCCAACAAATCAACTTGCTGGTTCTCAGCCTGGGATGACAAATGGAATGACCCTTAACCATCCAACTGGTGGTTTCCTAAAAAACCAAGCCTGGGTTCATTCCATGTCCATGTCACATTCCCTATCGCAGCGATGGCACTTAAGGTGTGGATTCATCCCTTGTGGTGTCCTTTGGGGCCCCTGGGTTCATTCCCACATCCCCTGGTGTGGAGTCGCGGATAACCCCAAGTCCCAATTCGCTTGCGCCGTACAGGCCACGGTGGCCTGGCAGTTGAACACCAAAACCCTCAAGGCGCTGGCCTCCAACTCGCGGCTCGCCCGGTTGACGCTGGCGCTTGGCGCTTGGGTGGGGTTCCTGGGGTTGGATGTCGCCCATTTGTTTAAACAAATGCCCAGTTGGTAGGTAGGTGGGCAGGGGAACTAGTCGGTGCGTTTGTGGGTTGTAGGGTGTCTAGTGGACTTGTTAATTGTTATTAACCAGTGAAAAGGACACCCAACTAAATCAGCTGACTTAGAGGATGTTCTTGTAAAGCAAGTAGTTTTGGGATGTATCCTTTCAGGAGCTGTTTTTGGTACTGTGGATGGACGACATCCATTTCGCACCACCTAAGAAGCCCTGGTTTCCCGGATTTTCACAGAGGTGATAGACGTTGCTGTGAAGATTTCCATGTCTTAAGTCCTGTGAACCCTAAACCCTCAACTCCCTAAACCCTAAACCCCCTAAACCCCAAACCCTAAACCCTAAACCCCCTAAACCCCAAACCCTAAACCCTAAACCCCCTAAACCCCAAACCCTAAACCCTAAACCCCCTAAACCCCAAACCCTAAACCCCAAACCCTAAACCCCAAACCCTAAACCCTAAACCCTAAACCCTAAACCCCCTAAAGCCTAAACCCCCTAAACCAGGATCTTGTCCATCCACCGTTTGTATCCTCCGAACGCTGTTGGCCAGACAAACTCAGCGACCGAGGATCCAGTTCAGCGCCCTCCCGAATGGGGAGAAGGAGAAAGCCATGAGCTGCTCAGTCCGACCTCCGCTTTTCTTATGCTGCGCCGGTTTTAGGCAAGCTCCGAGGTCCTCCTTTTTTTCTTATGCTGCGCCATGTTTAGTCACTTTTAGTCAAGCTTTTGTGGTGTTCAATCTTGGCCATGTTTTTTTTGTTTGGGGGGGGGCAAGGCCACAAAAAGGTGGTTATTTCCAGGCCCCTGTAAGTGAGGCTACTGGAGCCAGCAGTGGCAGCACTTTATGGCCACCTGGGAGTCACATCTTGTGACTGGGGAGATCGTGGTGTGACCTGGCAGCTGGGCAAACAAGCGGCCTTGTTCAGTGGATCCCGCGCTTTTACCTTTCCGTTTTCGGCGAGTTTGCCGCCAAGAGACGGGGCAAGCCCGAAACGGGTTTCCTTTTTCTACCAAGTCGACGTTGGGTGAGGTCCCTGCCATATTCCGCCAGCAAAGGGCTTCGTTTGCTTTTTTTGTTCTCGTGGCCGGCTTGAGGTGAGAGCTGCAGGCGAAGGGCATGGCTTCTCTGCGGTTTGCCTGAGATGTGGCTACGCTTTGCCATGACGATGCGTGACAACTGAGTTGTGCGCGTTGAACAAGCCTGTGCAGCCTGGGGCCTCTGGCAAAGCCGCATGCCAAGCAAGCGGCGAAGGTTTCAGCTTTCACCAGGGAGGCTGATTCCTTTTTCTTAGACGGACCAAGGATTCTTTGGAATGCATCAGGTCCATGAAAGGTGCTCATGTCGTACCCCGTTGAGGTCGCAACTTGTTTGCTGGCCCAGTTAGCCGCCGTCATTCACTTTGTTCCAGCTTGCTGGCCGCCAATTTGGACCCTCCTTTTGTGACCTCTTCATTCAGAAGCAGGGCATCCTAGCGTTGTTTGAGAGTGATACTGGCCTTGCCCGTTCCACTTTTCCACTTGCCAGCTCCAAATTCAGTGTTGAGGCGTCGGAAGCTTGCGTTTCCCTGGCTTGCAAGCCAAAGGCTTTTGGATCCAGTTTGGGAGTCGAGCGAGGGACCAAGCCTCCAGGTGGTTGTCCTTCTCAGCGTCCCCAAGGGACATCATCCCGCAGAGGGTCTCCACAGCTGGTGTTTTAAAAAGAAGTTTTGGTCTAAACACATGCTTAAGCACCCGGTTGCTCAGTAGTGGTGCCCTTTTTTCACCTTTTTTTGGGGAGGGTTCCCATTTAGAGTCAACCAAAAAAGGATGCCGAGTCGAACTTTCCCCATGGAAATCCACTGGGCATTTGAGAGCAGGTGCTTGGCTCGTCCGTGAGGCCCAGCTCCGCGAGTTTTTTCCCATCGGCTCAAGAAACCGAGACGAGACGCGTACGCGCGGACAGGCCTGGACAGACTGGAGCCCCTTGCGGCCGGTTTTTCCAGGGCACCCCTTTTGAGTTGCTTTGAAGCTGAAAGGGAAGTGGAAACGAACCATGATATACATATGTGTATATGTATGTGTATAAAGATATATGTATATGTACGTCGTCTCTTTTTCTTTCTTTTTTGTTTTGTTTTGCGTGTTCCTGCTTTGAGACAAACCTCGTCATCTTCTTCAATCACGTTTTGCCCATGTTCGCCGTCATGCTTGTGGACTTTCATGTATGGCTGTCACGTTGATTGAGCATGGCCCTGTGGCAAGATCCTGTGAAACGCAGTTGTTTCTGCATGGTGCCACCTGGAAAGCAAGGCCGCATCCCTGCTTTGCACCCTTTTCAGGCAGCCCTTCTACCGCAGCTGCGGTTGCAGCGGCTGAAGCTACAAGCCCTTCTAAATCTTACCCAGATGAGTTCGGATGATGTCTTTTTGGTAGAGCTAACCGACACGGATGGCGACAATATCACCTTCATGCTGATAGATGGGGATGTGCAGCAGTATGTGAACGGAAATCTGGAGATTGCTCAGGTGAAAAGCCTGTACATGGATGAGAGCTCAGGCGCGGTGGCAGATTCAAAGGGGCGGTTTACAGTGCAAGAGCCCTAGCCTTCCACAGCACCTTTTCTTATTTTTTCCTGTAGCCGGCTAGCTTTGCATTAGACTCATTAGACAGACTGACTCCATTTGACTCCTATTCCCTACCACTTGCTTTTTCAACATGGTCGTGGAAGACCTTTCTTGTTGGATCAAGAGTCAAAATATGCAGCATCCACTGTTTGAAGGGGGGGAGGTTTAATATGTCAGCGTTATTTGGACTAAGGAGCCGGACAAGGAAAAGCTGGTTGCTTTAAAGCGTTTGATGGGACAAGCTGGCATCCAGGTAAAGCCGCTTGCAGCTGCGCCCACCCCCGCTCCCATGCAGCCTGGGCCATGGGGGGATGGGGACGCCGACATGGAAGCCGCTTTGGCTGCTTCCGTGGAGGAGTCGCAGCGTCAAAATCGAAAGCTGGAATTGGACTCGCGATGGGAAGATGTGAACGGACCCGTGGTGCTCAGACAGCATAGCACCTTGAATCAGTTCAACAAGTTCTTCTCCAAGGCCATTGCTCGCTTCAACGCTCCCAGCTCCATTTGCGGATATCTCACAATTGCACATTGCCGACTTCTCCGGCAATTTCTGGATGGAGCGAAGAGCCCACTTCCAGCATGGAAGTTGCAAGAGGTTGGAGGCAAGCTGATCACCGAAAGCAGTCTTGTTCTCAAGGAGACAGACACTTGGATGCCATTGTCATGCTTTGGCATCCAATGGTATGTCTAATCCTGATTTCCCGCTTTTGCATTTCTTTGTCGTCAGCTAACAGGTCTTTGTCTTGTGGGACGTTCTACATGGGTTGGGTTTCCTTAAACGCTCAGGAACGGGCTATGGCCGGCATCGCAGCCAAAAGGCAGCGGTACATTGATGCGCACCTCCGGGAGTTCTCCCCGCGCCCTGCATTGCAGGAATCCCCTTGCTCGATGTGTAGGGGGGAATCCATCAAGGAGGCCCCTGATTGTGAACAACTCCAATGCTTTGCCTCGGGTAAATGGAAAGTTATGCAATCCAGATGGGTCATGATTTTCAGCTAGGAGTGGGTTCATTGGCTGCTCTCCTTTACCCAGGACTCCCTTGAAGTATGGGCCCCCACCCCCCGCGCGGCCCAATGTTTGTACGTGTTTGGAGGAGCACATCTAGAATCTTCTCCACAAGGTACTGGTTGCATCCCCCTGTTCATAATATAATATATATATATATGTATATATATATATATATACAATGCTTCCCATCACCCACTTTGGGACAAGTCCATGGCGACACAGCTGCTATGAAGGGTATATACCTTCTCCAATGGGGGGGTCGTGTTTTTTTTTTTTGCGGCGGAAACCATCGTGGAGCTCGGCAACTTGTCGCCTTTTGGAGGCCTGAGGCTCGGAAGTACCTGCGGGCCTGGGTGGCCAACTTCGAGATCTCCGATGAGCTGCGAGAGGATGGATTTCCGGAAGGCGGGGCACGCGGCTTCTTTCTCCGACTTTCAGACGTCGGCGATGGGTTTTGATACATCAAACACCCTCAAACAGGGGGCGAGCGGAAATCCCAATGGAAGTCTTCTGTCCATGGTTCCCATAGAAAACCAAACAAACATATATCTCAATAGCTGTGGTAACCCTAATCGATAGCCACTTCAGGCACAAAAACAATCGTGACTTAAGACATGAAGATGGGAGTGGCTTGGGAATGGGTGAGATTTCAGGAGAGGTTACACGAACCACACTTCTAAAGCGCCCACTTGTGGCATTTCAATGAAAAGGCGGCCGAGGTCCAGAAGAGTCGACTTGTTGTTTGGCACAAAACAAACGCACGTTCACTCAGTTTACACTTATTTGGATTGGGCCACTCTGATTTTTAAAGAGGGAGAAGAACCACAGAAACACACGAAGTGTCACATGTGGCTCCAAGAATGGTACTTAAATGGCCCCTTGGCAAATGGAAACCAAGACTAAAACCTTCGTAACCCACCTAAGGAACCCAGGAATGATGTTTTTTTGGGTGAATCCCAAGAAACGTTGTGGTTTCAACCATGGTTTTAACCATGATCCCATAGTGGTAAAACAATGGGCTTCCCATGATTTGGTCCATCAGCACACCACGTGCTTTAGGAGGCTTCCGAAGCGCCACAGCTCCATCGCTGCACTTCGCGCGCTACAACGAGTTCCCCCAGCCTCCCACCCGGTGGCACCCGTTTTTTTTTGGTGTTCGTTTTGTCCAGAAGTCGACTTTGTGGGGTGTCCCCTGGTGTGATAATGTCGGTTTGGGGTGTATGGCGTGCAACTTTTAGGGCTGCCCCTTGCTTTTGGTGCCCTTTATTGATGCTATTGAGGGCTCCTTTGGTAGGTGTTTTGCTTTCAGGCCTTCTGAAACTCTAGGCTGTTCCGCATTTGCAGTGGACCTTGGCTTGGTTTTGGGTCACAGTGTCCCCAGTGCTTTGTTTGGTGTCCTTTGAGGATCATCAACAATTCGTGATTTGGATTGGTGATTTGGGGATTTGAACTGCTGGTTCTTGCTAATGGTACGTGGGGAACCACCCCCGAACGTCCAAACCACCAGTCAAATCACCCACCGAGGCACCTGGGGTTGTCTTTTGTTGAGGGTACCCCTTTTCGGGGTGCTGCAAAGCTCGAAGCCGACTGGAAACCATTTTGGGGGACTTATTCTAACTTTGGTGCATGTTGCTTGGATGTTAGGACTTTAGCGTTTTGCCAACTCATGGGTTTTCCGTATTAAGCCACTCAAAGTGAGTCACTTTTAGCAGGGGAGCGGACAGCAAGCGAATTAAGAAACCCCGAGGCGTTTCGGGCGCTTTGAGCCGAGGCTTGGCGTTGCCACCTTCGAGGAGAAGGCGCGCATCGCGGCGGAGCAGCGGCGCTTCGGCGGGCATCTCAACGAGAAGGGGGAGACGCTTGGCATCGCCCAATTTTTTGCGCCTGGGGAGGCGGGGGGAGTGTGGTGGGGGGTGGGGGGGGTGGGGGGGAGGGGGTGTTGTCGCATTTCATGGCTGTTGTTGGGAAACATTTTACAGTTGCTTATTGTGGTTTAGTTGTTGAAATCCAACCACTTAACTGCTAAAAACGTCGACCAAGATTTTGCGCTGGGAGGGGGTGTGTGTTGTCGCTTGGGGGCAAACAGCTGGCGCGAGATTGGTGGGTGGTGAAGGGTGTAGGCCAGTTTGAGCTTCTTCCATCCCAAGTGCACGATTTTGCGCCACTGACAAGGAACTTGGCAAGGGGGCGGCTTCAAAGGACAATGAAAAGATAGGTGATGGGTAGCGCCTATCTAAGTTGGATGCACGTTCCCAAGACTCCTTTTTTGTTGGCTTCTTCGGGGTTCCCTTTTGTTGATTTGCCTGTTCGGAAAATAAGGGGAACCCTTAAAGTATACGCGGACTTGCGCTCGCGCCCATGCACGGCAGTGCGGTGCAGTGGGCGGTCTGTTCCGGCCTAGACAGGCCTTGCGAGGTCAGCAGCAACCCTTACGGGCCGAGCGGACGTGAATGTTGACAGCCCTTGTCGCATGTCAACAAGGCTAGCGTGGCAGCAGCCGAGGAAAACGCCCTTTTGGGGTGGGTGAACACCAAAAGAAAGAAGGTTAATGCCAGAAGCAAGGCGATCACCAAGTCCAAAAGAGCGGACAAGCGTGCCTACAAAGGTCCTAACATAGTGCATCAGCACCGTGACCGTTGGTCTAGCGAAGGCGTGCAGCGGCACCTGAAGCCCTGCAGAAGTCTGTACAGGGAAGTCAACGCATGACTTGGCCGCAAAAATGGTTAATTCGAGCCAGCTGACCGCTGTGCACTCATCACTCTGGCAGTCAAGAGCTAGGAACCAATCTCCAAAGCTCCTGAGGAAGTCCGGCGGGTACGACCCGAGGCTCTCGACGAGGCTTTGATGCCAGTGCAGTGGCAGCTCGGTGCTGTTTCGTGAAAACCAGTTCTGACCAGGGCGGTTGTGAACCTCATCCGCAGCAGGGTCATCACTGGGATTTGGCTCTTGCGGCTGCACGGTTTGCAAAAAGCTGGTATAAATGGCCTCAAGGGCATCACAAACGTTGCGCCAGTGCCTAAAATACCGGTCCGCTTCGTTCCAAGCGTCGAGGAAAGAGGTGGGCCTGCTTTTGTTAGCAAAAACCGCTGCTTTGTCTGCTGCGCTGTTGCCGACCGCCAACCATTCTTCAAACGGCGAATCGCATCGCCGAGGGTCAATATGGGCCGGGATCCAGTTGACAAGAACAGTGGAGCTGCGGTTGGTGCGTAGCGCGTCCTGAATGCGTTCCCAAATGTCAAAGTTCTCGGTGTGGATGGGGTCGATATCATCAATACCAGAGAAAGTCTCAGATACATATTGCGAGTCCGTCCAAACGCAGATAGGTACATCATGGTGCGCTCCCCACAAAATTGCTGCTAAACAAGCCGTGGCTTCTGCTCGACTGATGGACTGAACAATACCTTGAAGTGGTCCAGCTGCAATTGTCACCCGTTTTCCGGCGTGCGTAACTGCCCAAGCTGCTAAAGATAGCTGTTTGCAAGGATGTTGAAAGCACGATCCGTCGGTGAAAAGCTGTTGTAGACCTGCACTGCAAGGTGTAGCAAAAAAATCAGTAGATAGGTCAGCATGTTCATGGAGGGCGTTCTTGATGCTGAGCTCAAAGGGGTTCCGAGGCACAAGCAAGTGGTTTCGCACACACTGCGGAAGTGTATCCCACTGGTCGCAAACCCATTGGTGTGGCTGGCGAGCTTCATCGGCGAGAACACAACTGACTATCTGGTGGCGAAAGTCGTTGACAGTACCACATCGAACGCAAAGGCTGCTGGCTGCAAGGTCGAACTTTGCGTGCTGGGCAGAAGTACGAAAAGACCCATCCTGAAGCGCAGCGAGTTGTGCGGCCTGCTGTGGTGTGCGGGATGCCCTCTTGTGATAACTGCACGCTGTATCGATGCCGTGGAGGCCAGCAAACGTGGGCCGGCCCTGTACCGGTTCTGCGACATGCTGATGCCAAGCGTCCTCGAGACGGTGCTCGAGTTCCCCATTGCTGCACGCCAGTAGATCAAAGACCTGGTTGTCATGATCAACTAGGTTGGGAGGCCGAAGGACCTGCCAGCGCAGAGGGGCCAAGACCTGTAGCAGCTTGGAGTACGGGCCTGGGAAAAACTGACCATCGAATCGCTGCATGAAAAGCTTCCACTCGGCAAGATGCCCAGGCTGCTTGTAACACATGCGTCTGACGTCGCGCAGTACAACCTTGGCCTGGTAGAATTCAGGATCAGCAAGTAGCGGAAGTGATGCGGCAATTCTCAATAGAGGGTTAGCTCCGGCTCGTTGAATACGGAGGGAGCGAACTGCACTTGTTCGGAGCTTGGCCAGGTGGCTAGATGCAAGCAGGCAGGTACTGATGCCATGTAGGGCACGCGGCCAGAGGGCCTGCCATAGGACTGTTGCTCGTAGCAGAAGTGGGCCAGGAGCTCGCTTCAGGGCGGTCCAGGTGTGATCGAGCCCTCGACATCTATCGACAAGGCCAGCGTTACAAAGCACCTTGCCGTAACTCATAGTGCCTCCAAGATCCCGTGCTTCGCGCACAACAGGGAAAGGCAGCTGCTGAAGGCTTTTCCTGTGCGGGGCAGTGACGGCCCAGGCAAAAGACTTGTTGATGTCGATTGGCAAGTGGAAGAGGTCGCAGAATGCTTCGACTGTGCACCAGCTCCGGACAAGGGCACTCGGTTCGACCGCGACAACGGAGAGGTTGTCAACGAAGGAGTAGGCCTCAGCGCCTGGGGCAAACTGCTGGAGGTAGCAATGATAGGAAAGATCTATCAGGAGCATGGCGATGATGGAAAGCGGGCAGCCTTCTGCAAATCCGTTGTTGGAGCGAATGCCCTCCGAGAGGGCTGACCGAACAATGAACCGGCGCTGGTTGTGCCTGAGAAAGGCCTGCCATGGCCCGAGAATGTGGTTGCCAATCCCGAGGTGCTCCGCGAGAAACCAGACTGGTGATCGTGCCAAATTGTTGAAGCACTTCTGCAGGTCGATGGAGTATCCGCACATACTGCCGCCGGCCTGCGAGGCTAGCTCGATGAGTGCCTGAATGGCATACACAACCTGAGTGGTCTCCCGTCCCGGCAGAAAGCCGTACGCATGGCATTGGAAGAAAGGCACAAGGTGGGAAAGCACTTCCTTGGCCCTGATGGCGGCCCAAGTGCGATAGAGCAGGCTATAGATGACGATGGGACGGTAGTCGTCGGGGCCCTGAGGGTTGGCGCCTTTGCCAATGCACCTCACAACACCTTCGAGGAGTTGAGCTGGCCAAGAAGTGGCCCCACGCTCAAGGTTATTGAACCAGTTGACGAGTTGATCCTCAAGGTAAGGGTGTAAGTGCAGGAGGTCGCCAATGGAAAAGCCATCGGGGCCCTTGGCCGCATGGGGCCGGTATTTCCGGAGAGCGGCTCTCCAGCGAGTTGTGGTCAGCGGCGTGTAAGGCATCTTTCCGGATGGGATGAATGCCCGGGTGAACGCGGCAATGCGCTGAAGGTCCGAAGCCGGGAGGTCGGCACTTTTGTTCCACCTAGACTGCCAGAGGTGAATGCAGGCATCATGAATGTCACTTGTTTCAGTGACAAAATCGGTCTGAGTGAGGATCTGGCTGGGGTACAGGACAAAATCGCTGTCGACATGTAGGACACAGTCATCATGTGCCGATACATTGGCTGGTTGCCCTTCGAGATCCCAAGTCGAAGAGCTACATATGTTGACCTCCTTGTCGACATGAACCAAGTTGGTGGATGGTTCAACACCCAAAATTGTGTAGTGCTGGCGAACTGTGAGGGTATCAATGGAGGCTGGCTTGTCTTCCCTGATGAAGGCGAAGATTGAGCCCTGATTCTCGCTCAGCCGCACGTCAATGGCCCGAGCACGCTGGCGGAGATGCCAGGCCTCGAAGCGCCTGTAATTGGCGCGGAAATCCTGGTAGATAAGCTCGATGGTGTTCACGTCTGGCACCGCAAGGGTGACGGTAATAGGTGAGCCGTGTAGTTGGACCGATCGGTGGGTCCACCAGGAAGAAAATCCCTTGCTAAAGCCAGGGGCTTCATGGACTGCTTTCCAGGTTTGCAGTCTGTAGACAACCGCAGAGGCCGCAGGAGAGGCCGCCCGAATTGAGTGGCGAAGGCTGAGAATCCTTCGAAGTTGCTTGAACCACTGACGGACAGCAGTTCCAACGAATGAGGAGACTGGCAAGTCCTCCCCTTGTCTGCTGGGACGGAGAGTTGGTGCCGTAGGTGAGGTCATAGTTGGTGCAGCTTTGCGAGCCCTGCCTTTGCTGCGACGCGGCAAGCGTCCATCTTGGAAGCTGTTGCAGTAGCCGTCCAAGGAGTCTTCAAAAGTCTTAGCAAAAGAGCGGAGCCAGCGAGAGGAGTTGGCGTCCTCAGCAAGATGTAAGCTTTGGGCATGCCAAGCAGGGACATCCACATCCTGCCATGGTATGGAGGCCGGGTAGCTCCAGCTAAGGTAGCGCGGAAGGTGATCGGGGATTTGGAGGCCAACATGGAGTGAGGCATGTTCCTGGAATCTATCCTGGATGACGACCCGTCGCACCAAAGCGGCTGCTTCTGGCGACAAGAAGATGTAATCTCGTTGGGTCACGCCCTTGCATGTGGGCAAGGGCTCTTGGCCCCAGAGGGTGAAAGCCAGTTGCTGCGCTTCCACCCATCCTTGTTGTTGCCAGCATTGTAGCTGGGGTAGTGCCGAGATATCGTGGTTCATATCCCCGGCAATGATCCGGATTCCCTGAGCGCCGAAAACAACTTCCCGGGTGAGAGGTTGAAGCAAGGCGTCGGTAAGGGCAGCGGCTCCAGGGTAGGTAGGTCCGGCAGGGAAGCCGTACACCGCTGCTGTGATGATGGGGCAGCGATT